GGAAATTATTTCTGGAAAGCAGATAGAGAAAGAAAAATAACTTATAAGATGTTGATCAATCATTGTTGAGTTTAAATTATTTCACAGTTGAGGTTGGCTATTTAGCGATATATAATTTTTATTATGTGAATTAAGAATCAGATGACGAGTCACTGGCAAAATAAGGGATTTACCTTCAAAAATTGGAATGAGATTTTCATCTTATTAGTCTTGCCGACATAATTTACTTACTTACTTACACCTGTTAACCCCAAAGGAGCCTAGGCCGCCCATCAGTTATATCCAACCAACTCTGTCCTGAGCTTCGCTTTCTAGTCTTTTCCAGTTTTTATTCATTCTCCTCAGGTCTTCCTCTATTTCTCGGCGTAATGTGTTCCTTGGCCCACCTCTTTTCTTTTGACCTGCAAAGTTCGACGTAAGGTCTTGTCTTGTGACGCAGTTCAGTGTTTTTCGTGGTGTGTGTCCTATTTACTTCCACCGCTTCTTCCTGGTTTTCTCCTCCACTGGAATCTGGTTTGTTCTCTCCCACAGTAAGTTGATACTGAAAGTGTCTGTCCAACGAATCCGAAGTATTTTGCGTAGACATCTGTTCATGAATTCTTGTATCTTCTGGATGATGGCTTCGTTAGTTCTGCAAGTTTCCACTCCATACAGTACGAGTGTCTTGACAATTGTATTGAAAATCCTGATTTTTGTGTTGATTGATATTTGTTTGGAGTTCCAGATATTTTTCGATTGTAGAAATACAGTCTTGCCCAAATAGGTTATACAGAATCTTTTGATGTTGATATATTCATATTTTGTTAACTTTATAGTAAATGGAAATTCAACTGTTATTATGAAATGGGGAAGCACTGGATAATCGTGTTCCTCCTAGTTTTGTAGTTTATAATAGTGTACATTCACGGTGCTACACAATAGTGAACTTCAAACTTTTAAGTTTTGAAGTATCATACTACTGAATCACTTAGTCAGTAGACATTCTTAAGTTATACGATTGTGTTTCACTGAAATGTGTTTGGAGAAGTGATTTTGAAATTAACAACTATTGAGTTAGTTTGATTTAAAAATTGTGGTTACTATTTTGTTATGAGGGATTTATTATAATAGTCTTGCCTACTACATAAGTTAAGTTGTCACATAATATTTATATTGTTGACACATTAATATTTTGCAGCCCTGCTATTGTTATGTCCTAACCTAGTAGTAATTAGGAGCTAGTAATAGTAATGAGAAGACTGATGTCTAAAATTCACTTATCCGAATCAATAATCAACAAACGATTACACTCCGAAAAACAGAATCACGAATCAAATGAATGAGTTGTGGGTTTTCTATCAAGACAGTGAAATTATTATTCATTTCCAGAGCGATTCAACTGGAATAGTGTGCCTTAGGTAGTTAGGTAACAAATTCATAACTAGTGATGAAAATAAATGGAAATTCCCTGTCATTGCAAGTGATAGACCTCATATTCTTATGATGGGTTCAACTGCAAAATCGTACACGGAAGACAGCTAACATACTCTTTCGAGGTGAAGACCGGTGTCAGGCAAGGTTGCTTACTCTCACTCTTTCCCTTTCTCCTGGTGACGTCTACATCTGGAGGGAAGCACGGTGTCGACTGGACAGTTAGGACGTAGCTGGACGATGTGGACTTCGCAGATGACCTGGCTCTTCTATCTCACACGCAACAACAAATGCAAGAGAAGACGACGAGTGTAGCAGCAGCCTCTGCAGCAGTAGGTCTCAACATACATAAAGGAAAAAGCAAAATTCTCCGATGCGACACAACATGCACCAACCGAATCACGCTTGATGGAGATACCTTGGAGGACGTTAACACCTTCACATATCTTGGCAGCATCATCGACGAGAAAGGTGGATCGGACGCAGATGTGAGGACGCGGATTGGCAAAGCGAGGGCTGCATTTCTACAGTTGAAAAATATCTGGAACTCCAAACAACTTTCAAACAAAACCAAAATCAGGATTTTCAATACAAATGTCAAGACAGTTCCACTGTATGGAGCGGAAACCTGGAGAACTACGAAAGCCATCATCCAGAAGTGTTTATTAACAGTTGGTTTGACAAAACTGATGGGCGGCCTATGATCCATTGGGGTTAACGGGCGTAAGTAAGTAAGTAATTCAGCAAATATATATATTTATTTTGTTGATTAATAACAATGCTATTAGAGGTACCTGAAGAAGTGATATTTCTTAGCTAAAATCATCGATTATCTTATTAAGAAATATCTAAACTTATACTTTTTTGAACAGATTACCCTACATTCGACCACTACCTTACATTTCAAAATAGTGCACGCAACGCCAAGTCACTAAGACTACATTGCAAAATTAAGAAATGGAACTAGATAAAGACTAAATTATTGGTCATTGATCAATGATCAGGCAGTCGTGAAATTTAACAGTAAGCTGATAGTTTATTAATTATCCACTGTAAAATATAAGTGTCAGGATCATAATTACTCTGAACATTTATAAAAATTTTCTCATTTCATAGTCGAATGTCCTTCATAAATCCCTTTATGTCTTCTGGTGACTAACTTGGATCATCGAATTTAGAGTCCTAGTGAGAAGCCGTGACCAGTGGATTTCAACCATAATGAAAACGCAGGATTCATCTACAATATGTAATGGAATATGGTTTAGTAGTATTCAGGGCTACTTGGAGTTTACTATGTAAAGCACTGGATGCTTGATCATTGGTTGAGAGGTAAGGCGTTCGTGCATAAACCCGAAGGTTCTGAGTCCTAGCACTGTAAGTCGCAGTGAATGAACATTATCGTGACGTAACGGCAGTCCTGTGTTTACTGGTCTTCAGTGGTTCATTGAAATCATGGAATGATCAATGTTAGATCATCATTAGAAACCTGAAAGCAGTGAACCGCCGTCTCTTCCTTGCACATGACTTATCAGCAGTACACATTTACGGCCCCGAAAACAAGAATGGAACCCAAAAACGTCAGTCTCACACGGGAATGCTTAAGCTTCTGACCACTGAGCCTATATCCAGCTGTGTTTATGTATAACTTAAATTAATCCAACATATTGCGCGACCTCATCTTTTGTCCTCGGTGGGAAGCTGCGACACACCCAACGGTGGCTGTCGAACTAATGATCATTTTATGATGCTAACCATAGAATCATATATTCATTAGACATCGTAAATATATCAAAGTTTCGAAATTTTTCTTCAGATTTAGGTCGATAACTGCTATTTTTGCTAACATTTCCATATAGTTGAGCCATGAAAACTGCTTAGTACAAATAATTTATTTACACAATACGACGATAACAAGATAGAAAGTTAATCAGAACCGTAACTACAATGTTCATCAGAGTTTTGTGAAACGAATTCCACGAAAATATTTAGTTAGATGCCAGTTATTTCAGTAAAGAAGTTATAAATTTCATTTTCCTTTTTTACTCCAGTTATTTCCAAGAGATTGATTAATTTATGTTACATGATTCGCTTGTATTTCATCAATGAATAACCATATTTTGTCACCAAAAATTGCATTGACTATCAATCCGATTGTTTGTTTAATATAAGACACTGGAATATGACCAATTGCGCTACAAGATTTGTAATCATTTAAAATAATGACTTCTGCTAGATAAAATAATCTTAATCTCACTCAAAGTTTCTAATTTCTTCCCATTCTTATATGATTCTTACCTAAAAACATCGAAAAATGAACACTTAAATACGTTAGATAAACAGTGATAAATACTGACGAGTCCTAAATAAGATGAAAAGCTTGTCCTGGATTCCACCGCTAGCCGTTATCCATCTCTGCTTATTATTAATCGTTTGTTAGATGGTACGAATCAGATACATAACACGAAAATAAATGGACAAATAAACGTTAGTTATTATGTTGACTAATCTGATTGCTCCGATTAACCGACTGATTAGAACAAGTGAAAGTCATCGTCGTTGCTTAAGTCATAAGAAATGAATTAAGTGAAATCAAAAGGTAAAATGAATTCTAGATTTATTTATAATTACTGATTACCATGGGACAGCTAAATTAAATTCCATCTCTCCTATTTATACTGTTAAGATATCATGTGTCAATTTCTCTTTGTATGGAACAAAACTTGACACCATTGAAGTCATTTCTCTATTCAGATCATCCACTTGTTTTCAAGGTGTTCTGAGGATTAAGGTATGTGCTCTAAGCAAATTTTGGATTTTTTTATTCTCATATTCAATTGCCGTAATGTCTTGCTCACATACAGTCATTAAATATATATATATATATATATATATATATATATATATATTCACCTAGTCATCAAATTTGATATCATAGACATAATTCTGTCATTAATCATGGGGCATTGTCCACTAATCTAATTTAAAACTTTCCATTAAAAGGCTTTCTTAATTTAGGTTATAAGTAATAGGTTGAAGATTTGAATTTTAGCAGCCAGTATCAGGAATATTTCCAAGACAAAAAACGTAAACCATCATTGCTAAATGACATTATTTATAATCTGCAACAAAGTAAATGTTATTCAAGATTTTTTTTTTAAAGTTTAACCAATCAGCTATTGAGAGCGAGAAGATCAATCGTGATTAAAGACGATTTATTGTTAAAGATGAATAGTTTTGTTTACATTTTTTTCCTTTTTGGAATATTCATAGTTTACCAGCTAACTGGAACAAGCAGCAAAAATAACTATAATTAAATGAATCATTTCCTGACATACTATTTCAATTCTACTCTTTATATTGTCTTCAAATAAAAAATAACCTGTTCACTTTCATGCAGTATATCACAGATAAGCATTTCTAGTGGTTGACATTAATTATAATAGTGCGATTAAGAAACATTTCTCTTTCTGTGATATCACATACCAACTTTCTACTTCACTTGTAATCTGCAAACAAAACACTTTAATGAAAGCGGTTTTCAAAGAATATTATACCCTAATACAAAAAGAGAGTATGAGATCATATTCTAGGTTTATTTATAAACATATTTTAAGCATCGTTACAGTCATTATTATTATTATCATTGAAGCATCATAAAGCATCTTTTCTGTTTGACTAATATGTCAAAAACATAATAATGATTTTGTATAAGGTGACAAAACAAATATAACCTAATGAATAGTTTTCCATAACTAAATGCACAAGGAAAAAAATTACACAAAATCATAATCAAAGTCAAGTATATGTACAATAAAATTTTTTTTTCTTTATGAAGACAAAACAGGATTGTTTTTACTTGTAATATGTAGTAAGTTCAGGATTACTACTCAGCATACAAGTGAACACATACACACACATGAATTATACAATTTACTTATCAACTTCATAATGCGATTATAGAATCAATTGACTTAAAATGTTTTATTTTCATCTTATCAAACGGTGTATAATGAGAAAATAAGCATCACATGAACTGGCAAAAATATTATTGTGAAGTAATTGAGTAAGTAGATGTTGTTCTGTATTCTCAGTGATCAAAAACAATCATGTATTTATTTATACAAAACTAGTTTGAAAATAAGGTGATCGATCAGAATCAGTTCTTTGTAATAGAGGTTTTTGTAATAATGGTTTCATTAATTCATTTGTTTCGGGATTATTATTATTATTATTTTTGGTAAATTCTAAATTATCATTGATTTGTTGAAAATTTTCTTTAGGTAATAATTTAATTTTTGTTTTGTTAAAATGTACTTTGCCGCCATTTTCATCATTGTTGTTATTATTATTATTTGTGTTTAAATCATTTAATTTATTTGAATGATTACGTTTGATTGTAGGTGTAGCAAAACCAATGATATTAGTATTAGTTGTAGAATTAGTCGGTGTAGTATTCAATGGAGAATGTTTTAAAAGTCGTGTATCAATAGTTTGATAAATACTTTGTGAAAAATTTTCATTAGATTTTGGATGTTGAAAAGAATTTTTCACTGGTAAAATTCCTGCATTAGTTAAATTCACTTGCATATACGTTTGATTTTTTGATGAAGGTGACCAAGCATTAAGACAAGTGGGTGATTTAATTGTCGGAGATTTTTGTTCATGATATAAATCATTTTCAAATGGTATTTGACATTGTATAGGTCTAGTTTGTGGTGAAGGCATTGATACCGCTTTTATTTGAGTATTATTTGATCTTACATTTGAAGGAACAAATGGTGTGTAGTTGTTTAAAAGTGTTGTTATTGAGTTAGGCGGTTTCATAGTTTCAAGTGAAATATCATAGGCAGTTTCACTGGATTCCAGTCCAATAGGATGATGATAGATCATTTCTTTTGCATAATAATCCGGATTTGGATGTATATGATGAATATTTACAGGAAATGCATTGAAAGTCTGCAAATTCAATTCAATAGAAAACAACTGATGTCAGAAAAAACAGAGTAAATATATAAAGAAATTATATATCAAGTGGGTTTATAGATAGACAGAATTCATTGGTGAGTTAGAATATTTTACATATTTATTTTTAGAAGAAGGCTAATAGAGTAAAGCATTACCTCATAAGTTGCCATTTCATTCGATCCATCGAAAGACTGAGTTGATAGCTTTTTAAAAATGCCCCAGTGTTCATAATGTTGCATTTTTCTGAAATCTTAGCGTAAATGATTAGTGAATTCGCAATTTTTCAATTCATTTAGGAGTTAATCGATTTATAGCTTTCGTTAATCATCATATTAGTAGATATTCCTTGGAAGGAGGATAGCCGTTAGATAATTTTCGTGATTCTTCAGTGTGGTTGATGTACTGAAAATGTATTTTTGTTTCTTTTTTGGATTTGTACATAATCGGTTTCATAAGTGTCACTGCATACCGATGTAGGACAAAGCAATACAGATATCTGGAGGGTAATAAATTTCACAACAGCATGCACCCACGACCTGTTTTATGTCAAACTCATGACTACTAAGTCTCTAGGCTGGCGTTTTACATCTAGCTGGTTGTCTTTAAAACTTCAGTCAAATCAAAATGTGATACAAAATTATCCAGCGTCTGGAGCCCCTCTGAAGCTAGTGCCAGTCCTAAGGAGGTTTGGGCATGGGGTTGGCGACACCATTCCGTAGATAAGTAACGCACAGAAAAAAATGCTTACCAGAAAAAATTCAAATGATTTTATTAGACAGTCGACTATGTAATTTATTCAGAAGTCTCATAATTAGACAGAATAGTAGCTGTTCAACGTTTCTTGCTTTCTAATGATCCATCTGTTGATATCAGTTCCTGACGAAAACCATCATCGAATTCGTGATAATAGGTCACCCTTATCGAATATCGCCTGTGCGTTACTGTACAATTCTTAACAGTGTTGGTGTATAAGAGATTTTAATTAAAATATCTATAAACCATTCTCGACTTCAGTCGTTAGTTAGTATGTAAATGGTATTACGATAGGTGACTAATACATATTATCAAAATTAATTTTTATATTTAATTGCTTATTAATTTCTTGGTAACTGCTTTAAAAGAAATTTAAATAGACATTAGGCTGATACTAGTAACGGTAAAATAATATAGCAAACTGTTAAATATAATAAACATAACAGACAGATTATAAAAGTGATATAGATAATCATCTGAAACGGTAGTTATTTATCATCATACAAGCAAAAATGTATTAAAACCATTCAAAAACAATTTATAATAAAACTCATTATATTCCGTAGCTATTTATTCAGAAAACCTAAAGATATATCTGACATATCATTAGTTTGTTCATTGATCATTTATGATCATATTCACTGAAGAGAGATTTACAAGAATATCATTAGACATTTTTGAAACCATGAATAGATCAATGTTAGAACACCATTAGAAACCTGGAAGTACTGGACGGCCGTTTCGTCCTGGTATAGGACTCCTCAGCAGTGCGCATCCACGACTCCTGCACCACGCAGGACTCGAACTCAGGACCCTCGGTATTGTAGGCGAACGCCTAACCGTCGGACCACTGAGCCGGTATCTAACGGTGTTAATGTATAACTTGATCAAATTCACGGAGTTGCGCAACCTCATACACAGTCTTTGGTAGTTACTGTCTACACCCGGACAGGTTGAGCATCACTGGTCACGTCTTCCCACTAGAACTCGGAGAAGATTCCTCACGAAGCTAGTCACTAGTGAGCACAGGTAATTTGCATTACAGGGTTGTGAAGATTGTTAAGTTACACATTTTTAAAACCATGCGTTTCAAAAATGTGTAACTTAACAATCTTCACAACCCTGTAATGCAAATATCATTAGAATTATGTTATAAAATTCAATGAAGTTATTGTTAAAAGTTACCTTTGTTTTAGATGGTGATGAACCAGTTGAACTGGGGCATTTCATTCCGATAGCTGAATCATTTTGATTATTTGGTTCATCTTTGGTGAAATCTATCATGCAAACATATTGTAAATATTTGATTAGAACAATGTAAAAGTTAATCGTATTCGCTTTAGTGATGTAAAACAAAACTCTGTACATGTTTACAAGTGAACGAATCAACGTTTTTTATTAGGGATTTTAGTTGTGAGTTGCGGCTTGAAAGCTCAAAAGATGATAATTAAAAATTGTCAACTAAATCAAATGCCGAAATAATCATGAAATAATATCTAAAACAAGTTAGGGTTAACAAAATATCCGGTTGGGAAAGTTTTACTGTTTACATAATATATTTTTTGATGTTTAGACAATAAATATCATTACATAAATTATTTGAGTTTATTCATTCTAACGTTTTTAGGAATAAACAGACCATTTATTGAGTAATTTTATCTGTGAGGATTATCTGAACTCAGTAGCTCGGTGGAAAACGCGTTAAAGTGAACATCTACGCTGGTATCCACGTCCATTCAAGTAACGAGTCCAAGATAGGCTGAAAGGCTGGCTTTTAATTCTAATGCCAACTATCATCCATTTTTACACAAATTATTATAAATTTCGGTGTATTTCAGGAAACCTATTCAAGGATTCCTAAAATTTCCTGAATTTTTTTCATTTTGAGTTATCGAAACTGTTACTACTAATCATATTACTAATGGCTGTAAACTACGCGGGTTTTTCAATGAAACTTCTTATTTAAAATATTTTGTCAGTGATTGACAACTTTATTACAGCCATATTAGATAGATAGAATTTGGCTATCAGTGGGATCTATTTTGCGACTCATCAGCTGGATGTGCTTGAGATTAAGTTACATGTCACTGATGAGTCCCCAAATGGACGAAACACGTGTCCTGGATTCCACTGCTAGCCACATTCTATCTGTTCTATATAAGCTTGTGTCATAATGAGTATTATTAATTAGAATGACATTAAATATAATTGTTTTCTTTTGTTTTTAGTGTGTATTAGAAAATTTTATAACCGTGTTATTGTTTAAATTTATTCTAGTTCGAAGTTATAGTTTGTCATAAGATTTCATCAGATAAATTACTAAATTTGTTACCTTTTTAGATTTGACATGTAATGAATGCAGAGAATATAATATTTGAGCACAAGAAGTTTAGCTTGTAAAGTTGACTAAACTTAAATATTGAATCAATCATAGAAACCTGATATTTTGTTAAAATTCAAATGGTATCTAAAGACGAATGTCTGTTATTAAAACACAACAATCTACATTTGTCATCATTGTTATCTTTGTGTCCATTAAACAAAAAAGGTCTAAATCACTAAGTAAAAGTACTGGTCTAAAATGCAACAATCAATTCCATGAAAATGTTAGAATTGATTACATAGATCACCTGGGGAGAATGGACTGATGGATGAACTAATAAAGTTCACTCAGTCCCCATAAATTTTTATAGTTTTATTGAAATGAGTAAACCTTTTTTTGTCAAACTATTGAAAACTAGACAAGCGTTATCTCAGAGAACGTATTTTTAGAAATAAGTGGTCTGTGTATCTATTCTATAAGCTTGTAACTTTGCTTTTCTTATTCCAAAGAGTAACAGGTGACATAATATCTTGCAGGAATTTCGAATAAAATTATCATGGGTACATTAGGTAATAAAAAGTGATTATACTTTTTCTGATTACACTTTTAATTGTCTCACACAAGTTATTACCAGTTATTCATCATTAATGACTGGGGTTTATGTTTACTGTAGTACAACATACTATTGTATCTCATTAAAGTTAAACGACTGACAGGATTTCAAATCATTTTAGGATCTTTTTCGCTTCTAGACAACAAAGTTTTCATAAAGTTTATGTGGAAGTTGTCAGAATTTTTTCGACCTGTATTAGAATGCATCTGGAAACATTTTGTACATAGTTGTCGATTTTCGCAACAAAAACTATGTAAAAACGGAGTTTTGAGATATAAAATGTTTTGAAAAGAAACGAACGTCTCGATGGGTCATTTTTCGTAAATAATTTAGGCACTTCAACCCATTACTAACTTAAACGTTATTATTGCAGTTCCTCATAAACATACTGTTTGCTCTCAACTTTGCTTGCATAAATAACACTTATTCATCTGTTTTGTTAGTTTGGTCTGTCAACCTGAAACATTTGGAAAACCAAAATGAGACGTTTTTTAACGTAGCAATCGCTATTTTGATAGAGGTAATGATGATCAAAGACAACTACAGTTACTCTGTAAGAGCCTCGGAAGTAATTTTTTACAACCAGCAACAAGATGTCCTAATTTCTTTACTAAGAGTCGATGGTTCTCAAATAACGCCTCACATTGTCATCATCCTTGCTGAGAATTTCCACCCAAAAAACTAGTGTAGTGAACGAGAACACAGGTGGGGCAACCGAATTGTATTTAGCGAAATTACAGTTACTCAGTAAAATTGGAAAACCATATCGTAAATCGTTAATTTGCAAAATATCAGTTCATCATATCGAACTGGACTGTTCCTGTTGCAAAACATCAATCCAATGTCACTATTCATGCGTTTCATACAAATTCCATTGTTTTCTAACTCTTCCTTTCTTGATCTTCCCCCATATTATTCTGTCAGACATTACGTTGACACTCACGTCATATACTACTTATAAGTAGCTCACACCACACTAGTACAAACAATTTAACTGTATACTCTCTTTTCTTTACATATAAAACTGCTGTTTTGCATCAACCTGATCATACTTGTTAATCAGCACGCCTACTCTGACTATTTTCACAATATAAACATATATTTTTCTTTAATTTTGTTTAACCATACCATAAATAATAAGTCATCATTTGTGAACACAACTTATATTATGTAGGAACCATGTGAAGACTATGAATTGATGAGAAAGAAAAGATAAGTTCATTGAACTATAAATATTCACTTGCTATTACTGACCAATCTAATTTCATAATACTCTTCCTAAACATTCAAACTGACATTATGTAATAAAAATGCGTCAAAAATTTATGATAATTAGAGAAAAAGCAACCTTGATTTACATCCGGCAATAATTACACTCATGACATTCAGTAGAAAGATTAAAAAGAAAAACTTGTCATCGAATGTATAGTTTAATTTAGTATAAAAGATTCTACATTAAATCTTAACAATTAGCTATTCCTATTTAAATTACTAGGTTCCAATAATTAGTAAAAATATAAATTAAGAAACATAAAATAATATATTTTATTATATAAATAAATAAATAAATAATTTGTGAGATAATTAATTTTTATGTAAATGAAATACCAATATTTAAGAAACATTTGCTCGTTTCTAGTCAACAAAAAATTAAAATCTATTTTATGAATATTTTTTTTATTATGTCTAAAAGTTTAAACAACTAGAAATAACTGATTTCTAATTATATACTGTCAGTATCGCGTAGCAATTAGATTTCTGTACTCATAGTGTTTGTGTATAGTTTGCTACGCCTAGCACATGTCTAGCACAATGTTTGTCATACATCATTACATCGAATTGGCTCACATGCCTTCTCAGCTTCACTTTGCTTCGTTTTCATTCTACTCTTTATTGTCTGTCTGCTTAAACGAATGTATGAACAATAATTACCACCCTAAGAGTGATGTACGCAAATCAAAGGGCAGATTTATTTCATAGCCTATGTACCTGTTTGTCCAAACTGAAGTCAGATCTCGGGCCAAAAATTGTTCTTTTACTTCGAATGTGAGTCAAGAATATGTCCTAATATTTTTATAGTGCTTTGTGGAAAAGTAATCAACTTATAGTAAGATGAAAATTGTAATTTAATTTTAGGATATGCAGTTATATTTTGATATGTATTTATGTGTGATTGATGCATATTGGGCATAACCGATTCTAATGAATGTATTCATATCGATTGTCAAATGGCATTTTACAAATTGTTTATGATAGTAACCTTCATGAAAATCAAACAGTCAGTAGTTATCTTCCTTAGAATTATAATAATAATAGAAGTTCATTTCAATTGCTTCAGTTTGGCCCATGAATCAGTTTTATCTCAGGTTCTATTGAAAAAAAACAATTGTAATTTATTAGAATAAGATAGTAGAATATTCTTCGCATCTCTTAAGTTGGATATTTATATATCATTGTTTTCGATAGAATTTATAATACAGTTATTTATATTTAAACGTACCTTTCGTATTTGTTATTGGTGTTGTTACAGTATCAAATGTACAACGTTTTGTTAAAATGATAGCTACCAATAACAGAACACATAATACTCCAGCAACTGAAGCCATCACAATAATGATTAATGTTTGCTGTCCATATCCATACGATTTAGAATGATTTAACTTGTACTGGTGTTGTGACACAGACACGGATGATGATAATCCTGAAGGATATGATAATGCAGAATTATCATTACCATCAAGATTTAACGATCTGTGTGGATAATCTTTACTTAATCGATCACGTTCAGCATAATTGTAATTATTACTGATCAAATCATTGTGTAATTTGTTATGATCAAAATTTGACCGTGTTCCTGTCAAATAATCCATACCTGATTGATCTGAACGATGATTATTGTTCTTTTTATCGGATATCCTAAGATTTGGATCACTTCGAATGATCACTGTGAAATGAACCTAAAAATATAAATTTTAAAAATAAAAAAAGAGTAATTAAAATAAAGTTTTCTTTCTCTGAAATTAATCGTCAATAATGAAAGCTATTTTTATTAACTCGAATTGATTTTAATTAAAAGTGAACAATTACTGATCATAGAAGACTGGCTACAATAGTTAAATCAATCAAAGTCAAAATATGAATAAAGTGCTTGTTTAAACTGAGGGGTTTATTCAGATTTTGTTTATGAGGCATTGTAGTGACCAGTGTATCACAAGTTTCGTGATGGTTGATATTCAACATGTTCTTATATATATATATATATATAAGAAAATGTCTGAGTCATCGAAATATTTAAGAGATTAATATTAAAACGAATAGGATGAAAATGCGCTTAGGTGTAAGCAATATTCAGTTGTACCAGCTCATAAAAACCAATGTTACATTTGAGTTGTTGCTAAACTAGTGACTTGGTTAAATCAGTTAATCGAAAGGCTTAACCAAATAAAATATAAGCGAACTCAAAAATATGTGTCGGCACTACAACATATCAATTTTTAATTAGCAAATTCAGATATGTAGAAAATATGTTGGTTGTGTTATTTTGAATAAGGTTATTTCTCAGTCATATGTAAGGCATAAAAGTTCAAATGAGAAATATCTTCAATTTTGAAATATTTTGTAATTAACATTTTTAAAAATAGTTCAAGTTATTGAAACATTATTTAATAACGCCAAGAGCTTAATTATCGGCTAGAAAAATTTCTAGATTTAAAACAAACAAACAAACAATTATTTACTCAACTGTAACTAAGACATTCAAATGTTTATTGTTCGAAACCTTGTAAAATCATCTCCTTTTGCAATGATTACCTTTTTGTTTCTTTCTAATATTCACTAACATAAGAAATAATGTTCGTTTATTTTTCATAGAACATAATCACATAATATACAGTAAGCAGTTTTTATCTGTTAAGCTGAAAGTATGGAATATGAGAAATCAATATTATACATAATTCTTTTAAACAGATACATATTTTCTATTCCTTTTTTAAATAGAAAAAAAATTTCCAAAATTATTGTTGATAATTATTCACGACATTTATTTGTCGACAAAATAAAATATGTCACTCTATCAATGATGAATAGTAAGGGAGTTAATTACAATTTAGATCGATAAGTTATCAAGAGTATTATTGATCAACTTTCAATACTTGGATGTAATACTGAAATAAGCTCATTTTAAAACTGATAATTCTATGCTCAACATAATAGAACTCAGTACATGCAAATATACGAAAAGAATTTAAAAAATACCTTAGTTTTGAGGATAGAGCGCCGTACTCATATATATATATATATATATATATATATATATATAAAACTTTATTCAAATGAATATTGTCTAAAAATATTTCAATAGATGAAATAAGTGTACACTCGTATTGTGCTGTAATCAAAATAAATTACTTTTTATAGTCTTGAGACAATATTCATCATTGAACTTATTGAAAATGTAACAAGTTCTTTAATTTTCAAACTAATTTAAATTTAAAAAAATAGTTTATTGTGCTAAAAGATAAGTATTGCATAGCTGGTTCAATGTATGTCGTTGTATGCGAATTGACATGATTGTTTAGATCAGAAATACAAATAACTGTCTATGATTTGATTTATTGTGCACAAACTGATCAGTTCGCATCCAACACAATCTCGTAAATCATATTGGATGATGTTTATTTCTGTGTTTTTGTGTGTGTGTAATATATTTTTAAGATGGTTTCAGTCATTGTTGGTTAGTTATTTTTCCACCTAATATAGATTCTTTCAAAGGATTTGACTTATTAATTTGTTTTTTTTCCGTGGTGGTTAATATCAGTTAAATTATCAGCGTACATTGATCAACACTTAATCGTAACCAAATTCAAGATGACAATTTTTATGTTTGTAAACGCTCCTAGCTCAACTTTATGGTAACCTTCATGTAATAATGATAACAATAATAACTATTTCTAGTTCCAACTAGACATTCATGTAAAAAGGTTGTTTAAATATGGTTTCATTGATATTAATAACTATCAATGATCAATATCCAATATTATCGATAAATGATCAACTTATTCTAATCTTAATCCAGATAATTTTTTTTCTAGTAAGTTCATTTACATTGACAAAACTTGTAAAAAAAAAACACGTAAGCAAACAGAATACATTAAATCAGTTTTCTCCTAATCTATTCACTCAAATGTAACTAATGTTTCTAGTTTGACACCTACCTGTTTTCTTATCTATATTATTTATTGCATAAACAGAAATATGGGATAATTCTCAATTTTCAGTTTATCACGTTTTGTACTACTATTATTATTATTATTATTATTCTAATCATTATTCCTTATCATTTGTCCTGTGAATTATACCTACCTATAAAAACCTTTACTTCCTTCAAACTAAACGATTGTCTTAATCAGCTGCTTTTTCTCTAAAAAAGAAAAAATGGTAATAGAGATTTTTCCTAGCACACTGAAAAAAAATATACAGTAAAAACACGTCTTCTCTATTTTATTTTATATACATAAGAAAACTAGTTAAATGTTTATAAGTTGATGAGAATCTACAACACTAAATAGAAGTATTTTTTTGTTATTAGTATCAACGACTAGAGTCGATAATTTTTTGGTTCACCATATGAAAACTAAAAGTACAGCCAATAAACTCAATCCAAGATATTAAAAAATAATCTCAGGCAGCGTTGAACAGAATACTTTCACATTTGAAATAATTATTGCTTGAATCTAATGTCAATGTGATTAGTAAGAAATAAGTGAGAACAAACTGACGAGTGTCCAACATAGACTATGTATTCCGTTGATGATAAATATTGTTGTTATGACAACGAAACTAATAAATGTCTTATAGTCATTAAAATAAGTAGCTGATACTGAAACAGTAATGACATAAAGAAGTGTGGAACATCTAGTAGTTAAACTGTCTGCTTTATAATTTCATGATAGATGTCAGTTGTTAAGACAATTTTGTAAAGGTTTGTTTAATCGATAAAGAATATAACTCTATAATACATTTCTTAGAATTCATTATATCACTGTGATATTTCACTATTATAAGATGTACTCGGTACGGATCTTTTGATTGGAGAATTTTCGCTGTTTTTCACTTTGGTTTCATTCTAGGCTATATCGCTAGAGTAGTCTGACATTGACTAGTCATCATATAACATTAAATGACATGTTTATCTAGTTTTTATCGCGATTATACTCTTATCATTCAAGTTGTCATGTGGTTGGAAATGATCTCTGAGAAGTTATAACTTAATAGCAAAAACAGTGCATGTTATCTCGAATCACTTGGTTAAATAGTCATTCGGCAACTTGAACCAGAGAATTTAATCAACACTAGGAATTAAATGACCTTGGCACCGATTTCTAATATATGATCAATTATTGTAAGCATTTCGGTCGTTCGTTAGATTAGATTCGAAAATCCCAGTGATGAGATTTCTGATAATGAAACTGGATGATGTGAGTTTGATGTTTCCTCAATATTGATAAGCCCTAAATAGTATAAAATTTAAGTTCAAAACTTTCTGTTGATTCCCTTGAACTACCTATAACTGTAGTTCAACATGTGTATCAGAGTTATTGTTTGAAATAGATATCATGGGTTATTAGGTCACAGAAAGTCTACCGTCAAACACTTTATATTCGGTACGCGAAATAATATTACCCGTAATACAGCAGAACGGACCAAATAAACTATAAATTATTTTTATGTGATATTGGTATAAGTATCTGTCTATGTAAACAACTTTCTATTACTTAAATATGTCTTTCAAAGCTCAGAACTGAAGCTGCTGTAAGCAACTAGTGACACTGATAATTTTTAGCAGAATATCAATGATCTGTATAAGATAAATCGATTTTAAAAGCATGATAATTTTTTTCGCTAGCTGAAATCAGCTATAAAATCAGTGGAAACAAGGCTGAACTGGAAAACCATTTCAATTTACTTTTCATAGGTGTATGTCAGCTACCTCATATTAGCTCAAACTATGGATCTATGAATCAAAGTGTGAGTACAATACCTTTTGACAACTGAGTCGCAGAATAATAGGTCGTAAGTGCTCATTCATAAAGAAGTTTATATTAAGACAAAATAAATTTGTGATACTTTTTTGGTTTTCAGTGATTAGTAGATCGGAAATGAATGTACAAATGTAAAAAGTGTTTCCGAGTAAATTTATAAATAGATTGCTTAATATCCTAGTCTGAAAATGTATCACATTTTCCAAGTAAAATTCCCGTTCATACCAGATCATCTGCGCATATGCTTTTGGTAGACTAAATAAGAAATAAATCAGAGTAATATAATTCTTTTAAACTGTTTTATGTTCGACAATTATTCATTTACTGAATGAAATACTTTCGCGTGGAAATTCTCTGCAAGATAATATCCGATAAACAGGATAGATTGTCAAGAATCATAGAATTGTTGACATGATGAAGTCATGCATTTCCCACGATTTCAGAACCACAACAGACATATGAGATAGAGCCTAGAACCGTGAGTTCTTGTTGTGAGACTAAAATAACTCAATCCTGAAGTTATAGTCTAGTGGTGGTTCAGTGATCTCATGATGCAGATAAATCATTATTTAGCATTATCGAAAAGTAACCACTTTTATTTTCGAATGTGGAAATTGATTTATGCATAAATAACTTTGAAATATTGATATTTAGCCCCATATGTATATGTATATGTATATAAGCAATAAACAAACATTCAGATCAAGTAAAAAAACAACAATTAAACAAAACAGAATAAGCTTATTGCTGGATTAAACTTTTTACATTGTAACTGTCTGAAAATATTTTATGACAAAAGATAATCCGAAAAGAAAGAAATTTAATGATATTACGAATGAAACTAATCTAAATATAAATAGTGACCAAGAAATTGTATAGTGAATAAGTAAGTATAAAGCATGAAAAGAAGACTTTGT